CCGCACAAGTGCACAAATTCTCCTGCGGTGGGCCCTCGATAAGAACTTTGTCGTGATCCCAAAAACTTCGTCAAAGGAACGAATGCTGGAGAATGCAGGAATTTTTGATTTTTCTCTGTCGACTTACGAATTGGATAAGCTGGAAAGCGAACTAGAACATGCCTTGTTTGAAGTCGCGAAGGCAGAAAAGAAGGATGTCGACTCAATGGCCAGGCTTTGCTGGAGAAATGATCCACTGCGGGATCTTCTTTTCGACTGATCAATACCTTCAAACTTCCTCTGCTATGCATACCCCTCCCTGCTGTCTCGGGGATGTTATAGACTTAGCGTTTGGCACCCAAACTTGTAACTACGAGCAGTTCCCTTATATTTCCAGAACCATTGTCGTATATTTTCAGTGTTTCGATATTAAATGAATGGGATTTATCTCTGTGCAGAGCGTCACACAGACATTTGGTTCCGCCACCAACTCCAAAGTAATAGCGCTTCGTCGAAATGTAAGCAATGCCTTTTCCAGGTTTCAGATGCATTGATAAAAGCTCAGCGGTTTCGATTGCCGAAGTCTCTGAGTAAGTGGTTTCTGATGCCAAAATACAGTCATAAAGACCATCGTTAGGCAAGGCAGGATGCTTTTGCCGATGTAGTGAAGAAGCTTTCCTTTTTTCGAGCAAGAGATCGGACATTGCCAGCCAATCGCCAGCTCCGAACGCAACATGCTCACGCAACCAATTTTCAGTCTGCAGTGGGCCCTCAGCAGAATCAAATATTTCCGAACAAGCGTTTCGTATGTTGGCGGCAACATTTGGCATTGTTACGTCGTTGATCACGAACTCGTTGTAGTCAGAAAACGTTAAAAAGCAGTCGCTTGGTTTCTGTTTCTGTTGTGATAGGGCAACAGCTTGCTTAAGAATGAAAATACCTGGTAATCCATGTCCACAGCCCAATTCAAGAACATGTCCCTTAATAGCAATGTTCTGACTACGAAAATATCGGCACATATCTAGGCTACATTCCCAAACCTTCAATCCCCCCTCATATTCACCTGGAACTAGATCCGTGTTTCGATCGCGGAACGATGCTGATTCTTCTTGCACTCGAAGAATGTAGTCGTTGACGGTGCGCGCTCCTTGGAATTGTCCAGGGATGAGAGGGATTGAATCTATTGTCGAGTGCTGTTTCTGCAAGAAACTTCCGAAGAGAGATACAGCAGCTTCCTGCTCGATCCAAACAAACGACGAATTTATCTTTTCTGGTCTTTTTTTTTCCTTGGCGACACAGGCTGCAGACGTTTCTGTCCCTACGGACGCAGACAGCTGTTCGGTATTGGGAACGAAGTTGAAAGAAAACGACATTTCACTTCCATGAAGTAGAATTTTTGACTCCCAGCTTGATCAATCTCTAATAATAATGCATCATTATTCTGAGAGCAGTAATCGTACCGTTTGTTTGATGGCTTTCTGTGGTCAACGGAGTTTTTAGTAAATAATTGTAAACTCATTTCCTTGCATTCCGCCATTTTCTAAACTCATTTCCTTGCACTCCAAAGTATTTAAAACACCTCTCTATTTTGTCATTAAAATATTGATTAAAATATTGATTCACTAAACTATTCAACAGAAATTTGAATCAATTGCCAACCCAATTCCTGTCAGAAATCTTTCTCCATTGAATTTAGTTTCCTGGAGATCTCTTTTCCATGAAACTACTAGTTTTCTTGCTCATTTCTTTCCAGCATGAACGAGTGGTTCTAGATTTACTAGCATTTTTTGAATGGGTCAAAGATCCCAATTGAAAATGTGCTAGTAAATCTATTATGCAACCCATGAATTATTTTTTGAGTCTGTTGAAAGATTCTACAGAAAGGCCTGCCAAAATGAAGACTCAGGTCAACACAAACCAAGACTTGACAACGAGTGTTGCCTCCTTTACTAGTAGCGATAATGGCACCTCTCTCAAGACTGGTGCTGCTCATACAAACATGAAGGAGAGCGCCTGTATCAAGCACCTCTCTTAACAATGGCGCCTTGGCAAAGACTGGCACCACATAAAACAAAGAATGTCCAATTAGGTGTACTTAGTCAGTGCATTATATTTCCTTTCTTTCTTGCACCAAAGAGAGGCACGACAGGAGGATGCAAACAAAGAGGGAGCAGCTCCAGCCCCTTGCCCTATGCAGTATACTATTTATCTTAAGATGAATCAGACTACCAACAGCAGCCACAAGGCTGGTACTGTAAACTACTTAGTTGGTGAGCTTCAAAGCCCTCGATGAACGGAGATGCTTGGGATGACATTGTGATGGTGCATGCAGCACACTGACCCTTCTTCAGAAGCAAGACCTTCATCAGGACCAAATACAAGTCTGGCCCTGTAAAGAGAAAGGAGAGCTAAACTGGAAATCAAAACATACCAGAGTATTTGTAGCTTGCAAGGAAGAAGACCCACATCTTGATTGGTAAGAAGGCAAATCTTGGTACTGGAGTGGAAGACTTTGATCTGGAGAAAGACTTCATTAAGAGTGAGGCTGTGGAGGTTTTAGAGCCCCCTCCTGAAATGTCAACTGCTGACTGAGTGTGAACTGTTCTTGCTGCTGGAGGAGTACCAACGGTGGAGGCAACATCATCAACATCCTTGTTGCCACTTTTTGTTGTAGAATCCAGCGCTAATTCCAAGAAGAGATCATACCAGCAAAAGAACTCCACTGTCCCTAAAGGCACTGCTTTGAATGAGTATTTGAAGAGCCAATGACTACAAGGAATTGTATGTTGCAATGGAGAACCAGCAACAGCAACCATATCAGCAACCGCATCAGAAAAAGCAACTGAATGAGCAACCAAATGAGCAAGAACCAAATGAGCAACCAAATGACTGATTGGATCAGCAACAACCAAACAGAACAATCCATATTTGAAAATTACTATTTTGTTTGTTAGACTAGTATGTCTAATGGTCGAACCACTGCACCAACTGGTGTGCTTAACTCATTGCTTGACTCAGTGCTATCTATAGTCAGTATAGTGAGGCCACTAGTTATGGTCGCATCAGTGCTGCTTGGTGTACAAAGCAAGCCTCTGAGGGAACTCACAATAGCTCAATGCATTGCTTTCCTTCCCACAAGCCATTCCACATAAAAAGATAGCCCAAAATTGATGCACAGTACAAAATACACATAGAGGAATAAGTAAGGGTCAACTCATTCTAACAGCTATAACTTGGTCCCCAATGGACCCTTAAGTATGGTAAGCACATGAATTGAAAGCAACTTTAAACATGATTCTAGTCATACAGGGGAATTGGGGGAGGCATAAAGATATTAATCGATACACGTGTACATATATACTTCCTCTGTCCAGAATTAAATGTACCTATGACCGTTTTTTGTTGTCCGAAAAAAATGTCCTCGAGTTTAATTAACACTCATGAATATTTTTATTTAACCCCAAGTTTGTATATGATTGAATATGACTGTGTAGAACGCGTAGAATCAGTACTCCAAAGTGGAAATGAGCATGCGTGTGATCAAAAATTATTTTCACACATAAAATTACACGTACTATTAACACAGCAAATGAAATTTTGACAATGGTACGGTGCACCTCTTTCAAACAAGAAATGACCGCACATGAATGTTCTCAATAAGCACAGTAAGCATGTCATAATAAAGCTCTCACTCTCAGCTTTTTATAGCCACCAGTCCCGTATCTAAAYGACTGGTAGAACCSTTTCAACCRGTAAAATGAAAATCAYATGCCAAAATCCGGTCTCTTTAAGTAGTTACACCAAGTACGTCAGACATATTGACTATATTAAATCTTCATGAATGAATAAGTATATAATAGATCTGTTAAATGCAAAAAGAAGCATTCTAATCGCCCAAATAATGACCTTATTTCAGTAGTAAAGGTGCAAAAGGGACATTTAATTACAGACAGAGGAAGTACAGCATTGCTAATGTACAAATGGCACATCCAGAATTTTGTTGCCAATGCTATAAGACATACAATAGTATATCACAATAAAAAAAAGTATCTCATGTAACTGTCCTCATCCCCAAGCATTATGTTGCAAACACATTTTATTTATTGCAACAATAGTAGTTGATTTATATCCTGTGCCAAATAAAATCTTAAAATTTCCACTTGATTCAATCATGGACACACTGAATGAGATGTCTCCTTTTCAACATATGTCAGAAGAAACTAATCATCTCTGTCTTCTGATACTCCAAGGAAACTGTTCACATGCCTAAAGTCTATTGAAGATACAGATCTTGATCTATGCAATCTGTGCTCTAGTGTTTCACACTGTTAGTACCATTTCTTCCAAACCATAATGTGCTGTCCTGGTCGTTGCCTTTAGTGGGACCTGTACTTCTCAAACATCACAGGTTCTTACTGGGAATTTGGAAAGTCTCTTTTCAGCTACTGTCCCACAAAAAATAAAAACTTAGCACCAGGTACTCACAGTACAGTATTGTACATTGTACATAGAATCCATTAGTACTGTTCAGGTGCATCAGCATTGAGCATTCTGTAAAGAATGTGTTGCAATGAGCCCTGGATTTTATTGTGACTATCTTTAGTTCTAATATTACTACTACTAATCAGATAGTTATGAGAAAATTGGGCTCTCATAAAGGAAGGGTCTGGTTATAGATTCTGGACACATTTTTAGTAGCAAGGGATGCTTCTTGTAGGAAGCGAAAATATTCTAGAGTCTGTTAGTGCTAAAAGCTTGCAACATCTTCACTGAGCACTTGTGGGTGCAAGCAAAAATCAAGGAGCTACTGAGCAGTAACTGCATTATCCTTTTATTCTCCTATCAATTTTCCACTACTACTAGTGATCCCTGAGGTGTCATTTGCCAGTGATGGTGGTGCTTTCATTGTTCTTGTTGTTCCCCAAAAAATATGTACCAGTAATTGATTTACAGAAAAGCTATTTTTGCAGCATAACTTTTCATCTGCCACCAGCCATTTCTGTATGATCCAACACTTTCAAGATCACTAAAATTATTGATTACAATTACTTATAATTTACCAAGTTGCAAGAGTCGTCATCGTTGCCACAACCATTGCACAAAAGCCAAGTCCAACAATAATCCAATTTTCCCGCTTCCTTCCCGCAGATATATTGGGATCTATCTTGTTGTGAATCAAAGGTGGGAAGATAAAGGCGAGGGGGCAGCCGAGCAACCCACCCATCAAACTCACAACTTTATCGAGGCTTTCCATTGTTGCCACACCAACTAGAGCTAGCAGGAAGACAAGAAAGGAGGAAATAACGCTTCTGTTCTGAAGCCATGTGGTTCTTTTCCCACAATTATTGGACATCACCGTAGCAATCGAGCGTGTGGCAATTTCCAGAGATGGAAAGTTTTGCAACGGAAACGTAAAGATAACTGCCGTGCTGTACGCCATTTGCACGGTTGTCGCTAGTAGACCCGGAGGTAGCGATGTTGTCATGACAGTCTTCACATCATCCCCAAACGACACCCAGCAACACATACCAAAAATGCAGTAAAAGCAAATAATGCTCAAAATGACCTTTTGGTATACGATTGGAAACTGTTTTCGATCTTCTTTCCGGTAAACAGCTTCTTGAAGAGGGACCAACAAGGTGATTGTTCCTTCAAAAAGCAGAACCTGACGTTGAATAAACCGGATTTAGTCAAAGAGTATGCATAGGAGTCCATCACTGCAAATACACCACATAACACATATCCGACATAGTTTTTGACTCACACTGGTTCCAATGAACAAAAACCACCCTTCGCTATTGAACGCATCAAGCTTTGAAAACCGAAAAGCGATCTCCGCTACCGGTCCTAGCCCATCGTTCGACTGGACTGCAGTAGAAAGAGCGAACGCAAGACAAGCAATCAATCCGTAGAGAATCAGTGTATTGGCAAGCAAGTTGGTGACAGTAAGCTTCCTGATATCTCGGATCCAACTCATTGGTATCTCGATCAGGAGCATTACAATGACAAAGTAGGATGCATCGATATCATAACCAAAAAGGATGGAAGTAACAGTCTTCAAATTTTGTGGAACGAAAATTAGATACGTCAAACAAACACCACTCTGCATGAAAGCAATTCCAATCTTTACAAATGTTTCTCCTGTGGTTCCCAGCGCACGATGCGCCAATTCCGGATAGGAAAGAACGGTTCTCTTCTCTGTGAGGTTCTCGGCGCCGTTTGACTTTGCGCTCTCGAGTTTCCAGGCATCCAAAAGGCAGGCACTGCTGCTAAGAAATAGAAACGTCGACAGAATCAAACAAGGAATGGCAAATATCCACCCGGCCTTTGCAAACCCGTGCGGGAGGTATAAAATCGCCGGTCCAACCATTCCCTTGATGATTCCTAGCACGGCAGATGTCAGATCGCCACCTTTGGGTGGGGGATGCGCCTCAGCTTCTCCAGCGGTATCTTCGTGCCACCGGGGAGGACGTCCCATCAACTCTTTTCCCTCCTCGTCGTCATCGGGATGGTAGTGTGATGTGTACACCTGTCTCAGGCGCACATGCGTGAACCCGTGATCGAGAAAGCGCACATTGAAAAATTCTGTAAGGGAAGAGAGAGGGGTATTTACTACCTCTCGAACCTGGCGACGAGGTTGGCGTTGCTGCTGCAATCCAAATTCTTTCGCCATTTCTGCCAAGCGACCATTGTCCTCTCCTGCCGAATACGACTGCATGTAAGATTTCGATGGGCGGGATCCGCTCGTTGTCGGAAGTAGGGATTCTTTTTCGCTCATGATTGTGTGCTGCGTTTAGATTCCAATTCCACGGCAACAATGATGAAGTCTCACAACTTGATCCTTCCAAAACAGCACTTAAGACGACTCTCTAGGTGAAACTCTTGTATCGGTACTGCTTATCATACAATGAAGACGAGGCCCAAAGAATGTTAATATGAAAAATGAAAAATAATATCTTTCTTGCAGTGAACTGAGCAAATCCGAACGGAATCATCTAACCTTAACTCCTGGCAGAACGGTACGTAGCTATTCACGTAGTTTACTGTACCACCAATCAAACCTAGTACGAGTGTGTACGAGTAGATCGTGGGTTTTCTTTGCCTTGTACCGTACTGTAATGTCGCACATTACTTACATGTTCGTTTCAATGCTCTTTCTGTCACTTCCATACTTCGAAATATCTCACGTACTGATGCGTACAGTATCACACTCCATTTTCTGCCGTTATGGTCGCAAAATCATCGTACCGACCCTTCGTAACGGTGCGTACTCGTACTGGTATAAGTACTCGAATTGGTATTACCCTAACCGTACAGTAAGTAACCTAATCGTGAGTATTATTTTTCGTTCTATCTAATTGGTACTGAGGAAGTAGAAGAGTTTTCTAATTTCAAGGGGATCATGCCAGTTGTTTTGATTTAAGGGATTCCCATACCGTACCGTAAGTACGAACTCGTACTTTACTTTTTTTGAGGTTTCATTCAGGAGCTGATGGTCCTCTAGACCAGCCAACGCGCGCGCGGGTTAGCATAAAAAGAAGTCGCATGTCCGCGCGACCGTACGTGCGTACCGTACCAGATGAGTACGAGGTGTACCGGCCGGTACTCGTATTTGTGAGCCGAGTCTGAGGACATTTTTTTCTTGCATCTCAAAAATGAGGCCACTCAGACATGGGTATTACGTACGTACTACTACTGCCATTCAAATTTTCCGGGTCGAAAAAAAGAAAATCGAAAAATAGAAAACCCACTGAAGATTCGACAAGATTCTACCGAATCTCTCGGGTCTTCACACTACGTACTGTACTCGGACTAGTAATTGTGTCGTCCCTTCGGTTCATCTGTGTTTTGTGTTGGGTCGAAGGGAGGCGTCTCATCAAATGAGCTTCAGCCCTTTCCGCTTCTCTCCCGAGCAACACAACGAAAAACACAACGAATTCGATCACGCAAGTAGACATCAGATAGATACATCGGATTCCTATTGCAAAAAAATCTTCCGTAGCCTATTATTTCACTTTCACTCCCTCCCTTTGGCAAACAATAATTCTGAATACTGTGATGGGATCGTCGGACGATGCAGCCCAGTTCGAGGGGGCAACAGACGGAGAACAAGGGCAGACGGGCACACGACAAACAACGGATTCGAACACCAGAGACCACCAAGCAGAGAATGGAACCGGCAACGAGTCAAGACCGCCGAAACGGGAAAGTGTTTTGGATATGGCGACGAGCAAGGCACTGAGACCTTTTGTCATTATCAGTTCAAGCTACCTATTATTTACAGTTACCGACGGAGCTATTCGAATGATTGTTTTGCTGCATGCATACAACAAAAATTTCAGTGCGCTTGAAGTAGCCATTATGTTCACTCTTTATGAACTGGCCGGTGTGGTTACAAACCTTGTGAGTCAGAACGGGACAAAATTCAGCGTTGCCCCATTTTTCATCGTCGTTTCAAGCAAACACTGACGTGACGACTGTCTGTATATTTTCGTCCGCTTTGTCGTTTATGAATGTCTTATTCTAGGCTGCTGGTCTGTTGGGAGCGAAATGGGGGATTAGGTTTACCCTCATTGCTGGTTTGACACTACAACTCTTTTCATATGGTCTACTGTTTGGATGGCAAGACGATTGGAGCAAAACGGAATCCATCGTCTATGTAACGTTCGCACAGATGTGGGCTGGTGTCGCTAAGGATCTCACGAAGCTCGGTGGGAAGACAGTAACCAAGCTGGTCACTCCAGAGGAACAAAACACAAAATTATTCAAGTTGGTATCTCTAATAACGGGATGGAAAAATTCTCTGAAAGGTGTTGGATATTTTCTTGGAAGTGTACTGATCGGAATAAGCTATGAATTAGCGCTTGGTTTTATGATGGGATTGGTTGTGATAGCCATGCCTTGGGCAATATTTGGACTGGACAAGAACCTTGGAACAGCAAAAAAAAAGAATGCGAGCCTCAGCGAAATCTTTGTCCTCGACAACTTGAATTTGAATTGGCTAAGTTTTGCCAGGCTATTCCTCTTTGCTTCTCGTGACTTTTGGTTCGAAGTTCCGTTGCCGTTCTTCCTTCGCAGTCCATCGTGCATCGGGTTGGGTGAGATGCAATGTACAGTGGATGGCGACTGTATGCAGGGAGCAGTCTGTGTGAGCGATGGATTGTGCACCAATATCAACACGGGTGGCGGATGCGGTGGTCTGGGACTTCCACGAGGTGTAGTTGGAGCGTTCTTGGGAGGTTACATTATTCTTTACGGACAAGTTCAATCTTGGACGCCTCAGCTTGTGACAGGACCTCTACAACAGACACCACCGAACAAGCTCACGGAGATTCTCTGGGGTCTTATCAATTGTCTGCCAACCTACGTCATGTGGTTAGTCATTACATTTGGGTCCGTATTCCAAGATTACGACAGGGATGCAATGACTGCCTGGCTCGTGTCTGTCATTGTATCATTTGCAATAATATTTGCGATCAATTCTTCTGTTCATTCATTCCTTGTGGTCAAATACGCCAGCACAGACAAGATTGCTGTAAGTGTTGGATTGTACTACATGAGCAATGCTGTAGGCAGATTGTTTGGAACACTTGGAAGTGGTTTCTTATACACGTACATAGGGGAAGACTTCGGTGATCTTGCCGGGAGTGACGCTGTCGCCGGATTAGCTGCATGCTTCCTAGCTGGTACAGTGAGCAGTTTGCTCGCGGCCCTGATCACATACAAGATCAATGATCAAGACGAGGGTCTCAAGTGTGGATCCTGTTGGACCATCCGACATCCTGAGCTAAACGCTTGTGCTGGTGATGAACACGGATCTATCGATACCATAAAAGAGGGTCCATCGAGCGACAAGAGAGGTGGAAGTTAGACAGCACCTCCACAAAATAGCTTCCTTTGTACTAAATTATACTGTTGGTATTGAATAGTGTGCCTCATGTATGGCAAATCAGAAGTGCTAACAAGCTAGTTGTGATACTGATCACTGCGAGCCATGTCGTTACTACAACTAGTAGTGCGAGATTTGCTACAACAGATTACTTGTACCATATGAGTGCAATCACCTTCGAGGCAAGGGTATACTTTATTGCGTCCGATTTGTAACTGTATGAGTGATGAAGACGAAAATCATTTTTAGCAAACAGCTTGATAGCTCACACAAGCACCAATCAGATTTGCAAAACTATCAAGTCAGAAAGCCATTCATCCTTCTTCATATATGTGCTATATGATTGTATTTCCTTTCAGCAAACTCATTTGGGTACAACTCTGTTATGGGCAAAATTGTAAAAAAACTGATAAATTTGATTTTCCATCATTAGATTGACCTGATGCAGTCTCAGTCTAGAGGACCAGCCTCAATTACAGACATGGCGACCTCTATGTAGATACACTGCTTTATACTTTCCCATGGTCATCTTGAACTTGCAAATTGATTGGCAAGAAATGAGAGGAGTATTGCACTGTTGTGGGCTCTTTCTGTACTCCTAGAAAGGAGGATAGTGAAAGGAAGAAGAGTTACTACTAGTAAGTAGGAGCATCCAAAATATTCAAAAGGGTTGCTGATAGGGGCTTTGCTGATGTGCAAAGATCAAAGCTGGTGCTGGTAGCAGTAGCAGTAACAAGCAGTACTTGCACAAATATCATCACCACTAGTAGAACTTCGAGAAAAGAGGAAAAACCAATACCACCAAGAAACTTGCAACAACAATGGTGGGCTGTACTAGCAAGACAAGAATCAGCAACATTTTTGGTAATCAAATGTACAGAACTACTATCAGCTCCAGCAACTGAGGAAGGAAAAACTACTAGAACTACTAATACTGGTGGTAGTACTACTAGTAGTAATAGCTGTGACAGCCATAGTAACACAAATGTTCCCTGAGCAAAGCAAAGTACAAACAGAAACAAAAACAGAAACAGAAACAATGCAAATGACAGATCTTCCAAATAAATTGTCAGCAAATCTTCCTATTCTTGTTATTGCTTGTAGCTAGTATTGTATCCCATCAGGATCATAACCACCATGCGGGCCGGGTAGATGCTAGACTACTCATATGCCTTGTTGTTGTCCTTGTCCTACATCTTGTACATGCATTCTTGCACCACTTGGTGCAATATGCCTAGAGAATTTGTAAAAGACTTTATCTAGGAGAACTCAATACTAAGCAGAAGACATCTACTTCTACTATCTTTGCATCTGAGGAGGCAAGCAACAACAAAGCATGAATTTGAATGGATTTTAAAAAACTCAGAAATATTGTTTCCACCAAAAAAGCATTTATTTGATTCATACATATTGAAATTTTGTTGTTTATGGTATGAGTTATTTCTAAGTAATAGAATTGCAGCCAAAATGAACGTGCAAATTTCAGCCATTCACTAGTGCAACTTTGGCAGACTAGCTCTAGGCTGCTAGAGCATCCCAACAACACAGCAATCTTTAAGCAATTTTACTATCAACAACTTGCTGGACTGGAGCTTAGTAGTACTATGTTGGTCCAGAGTTGTATAATCTTTTCTAACACACAGCCAGTCTCAAAGACCAGCAAAATACCAAGGCTATCATATAGAGTTGGTCCCATTTCCTTCTCCTTAAATTGATTGAGAACCATACATCCTGTGAGGTAGAGTACCCCTGCTAAAAATGGAGGATTATGAAAAAAGCAATCAGCAGCAGTAAAACAAGCATACTGAGCAACTCAAAACACCAGATTTTCTTGTCAAAGAACTCCATAAGGATGTATACCAACGCTACCCTACAAGCTCCCCAGACTCAGTCCCTCCATGATGCACCGGAACAGTCTTGTTTGGTTCTCATCCAAAGCAAAGGGTGAATTAAACAGGAGGAGAGCCAAAACAAAGAAGGCAAGGCATCAAGCCAGAATGCTTGTGTACAAAGGTCCMAAGGCTTATGCTTACAAACACTGGATGCCACAGCACAAGCTCACAATTGTAAAGGGCAACATGGAGATGAAGTGGCATCCAGCATCAAAGGCCCAGAAGAAGGCACTGGAGGCTATAAAGGAACAGCAAATGAATCCAGGCCTTGGATGGAAGATCCAAATTGTAACGGATACCTCTTTGCCTCCACCCAAAGCCCCTAAGCCCCCTCCACTGGAAATAATTGATGACCCCTTGCCACAGGCCCAATTTGTATCAAAACAAGACTGGAAGTGGATTGTCAATTGGGAGTGGCATCATAAGAAACCTACCCCGTACAACAAGGAGCTGAATGAGACCTGTGCTGGTTGTTTAAAGAAGACCTGCTTGAAAAAGAAAGATCTTGCAAAGGTCATTGAATTGGCTTGATTTGCAAAGCCACTGTTGCCTCCAGCATTGATGAGCGTGGGGATAAACATGAGTGGTTCTTTGAGATCTACAGGACAGTAATGAAGAGGGAAAACAACCTAACCCCATGCATTCAGTGTGATGCATTCAGTGTGCAAATGAATTTGCCTTTGATGAGTGTGGACATCCTTACTACATGGATCAAAGCTTTTCCTTTGATTCAGCTGACTATGAGGAGATGAATTGTTAGGAGTAGATGGATCATGAGAACAAGCAACCAAATCAGCAACCGACAACAAAGCAACCAACAAAGTAACCAACAAAGTAACCAACAAAGCAACCAACAAAGCAACCAACAAAGCAACCAACAAAGCAACCAACAAAGCAACCAACAAAGCAACCAACAAAGCAACCGACAAAGCCGCATCAGCTACCAAATGAGCAACCAAATGAGCAAGTGAATCAGCAACCAAATGAGCCAATGAATGAGCAAATGAATCAGCAACCTAATGAGCCACCAAATGAGCAAACTATCCATATTAGATAATTACTAGTATTTTCTTTACTACACTGATTCTAATGGGCCAACCACTGTGCTGAACTCACTAGTACTATCCACAGTTGGTAGGGTTAGTTCACCTTTAACAGTGGTTGCGTCAGTACTGCTGGGAAATACAACAACATCAAGATTTTGATCACCAGCAACCCCATTGTCTTCCTCATCCTCATCCTTGATGTCCAATAAGAATTTCATGTACTCAGTGTTATCTTTCAATTCTTCTGTGCTTGGAGGCTTCCAGTTTTTAGCAACAGTGCCCATCATACCCAACTCTTGCTTCTTGCTCACCCATCCTTGATGATGGGTGTCGTAGATTTTTTGTTGTTGTTGTTGTTGTTGTTGTTGTTGTTGTTGTTGTTGTTGTTGTTGTTGTTGTTGTTGTTGTTGTTGTTGTTAATAGTGACAACGCGTTGTTGTCCTTTTTGTTATTGTCCTTAGTGGTAGCTTGTGTCTATAGCTTGGTGCTGTGTAGTAGTGTTGCTGACATCATTTGATAGGATTGGTAGTACTATCACTTCATCACCAACAGATGAATTTGCAGATAGGAGTATCATGATGAACAGCAAATTGATCAATTTGTAGATGGACATCACAAACAACAAATCAATATACAATTGCTACTGCAAATTGACACTGCAGCAATGCACTTGGGAAAGACAATTATACTCCTGCCTCACCAGCTAGTACTACTAGCAGAAGAGTCCCGTCATCAATTCAATAATTCAATGAGTTCCCATCAGGGACATTTGGTCTATTTAGTTCTGATACTGAATGATGATGCAATGTGAAGGTTTCCATTTGCTTCTAAAACAATGTCTTCCACTGTGTTTTTTCCATTCCCAGATTGCGTCCATGCTGGAGCAGCACCAACAGAACCCCCTAGCACAGCAGTTCGCAGTGATCACTACTATAACATCCCCACTAGTGAGCACTAATAGAGGTTTTCCAGTAGTAAGCACTAATTGTAATTATCAAGTAGTAAGCAACGAAGTTACCTCTCTAGTAATAAGGACCACTAACAGAAATATTTAGGGACTAGTTTTTGTGTGTAGAAGGGGGGGAGAGGGGAAATGAAGATGGAGAATAAAAAAAATCGAATTATTGTCAAACGAAACGTCTGAGGGGTCTATTTAGTCCTTCTGATCCAGTCCCGCTCAGAGATTCACAAACTGGGAATCAATATCTCGATGCACGTTCCGTTCGAACGTGCCGGAAGTAGAAGGTTTCGTACGGTACGTATTCGTAACTTTAGTTCATTCTGTGTGGTCATGACGCATGCATATTTTTTTTGAGTGTTGACCGAAACAATGCCGCCACCTGCCTATTCTTCCAAATCTCAGTACTCAAACTAGTACAAGCTATGCGAGTACTCGTACCGCCGATCTTTGGGTTCAGATGATAGTCACTCACCCGTCGTCGATCGAAGAAAACGCGAGGCTTTTTCGATTATTGGATGTTTCGACATTTTGCTCATTTCGAGTTCTATCGCAGTCACATCAAAAATATTTCGGACCATGAGCACCACTGACGCCAACCCTAAGATCATTGACTTGATCAAGCAAAAGGAAGATGGTAGCAAACCTTTTGTTTCGATCGAGTTTTTCCCACCACGAACGGAGACGGGTGTCAAGGTGCGCCATTGCGTATAGTTCCGTTTGAGGCTTTGCGAGAATATGCTGGTTGGTGGTCGGTGGTTGGTTTTACAGAAGTTCTTGAAACAGGGATTTGAACTTTTGTCATCGTATCATTTAAGAAATCCTAATCCTTTACTGTTTGGTCATTGTTTTGATTGTTTAGAACTTGTATGCCCGTATGGAGCGCATGAAGGCCTCTATCAATCCACTCTTTAGCGATGTCACGTGGGGAGCAGGTGGTTCGACGGCAGAATTGACTCTTGACATTGCAAACCAGCTCAAAAAGACTGGGCATGTAGCCAATATGCACATGACGTGCACAAACATGGAAAAGGACGGGGACCCTAAGAAAGCCGTACACAGTGCCCTCCAAACCGCCAAAGACAGTGGCATTATGAATATTGTAGCTTTGCGCGGAGACCCCGCCCACGGACAAGAAGAATGGACAGCGGCCGATGGAGGGTTCACTTGTGCCCTGGATCTTGTCGAGTACATTAGAGAGAATTTTGGATCCGAGTTTGGCATTAGCGTTGCGGGATACCCGGAAGGTCACCCTAATGCAATCTCCCTCGTCGAAGACCCATCTACCATGACGGAGGCAGAGAAGGCGAGAAGTTCCACGGACGATGAGGGCAAGGTATACACCTGCAGAGACGAGGACTACAAAAAAGAAATGGACTACTTGAAGAAGAAAATTGACGCAGGAGGTGGTGAGTTTCTATCTTTCGCAGACCTACAAAAAAGTTGATGCCGTTTAGTTTTCTTGTATGGTATCTCAAATCTCGTTCTCTCCCTGAATCCCATGCTTTGCTTTCGAATAGATTTTATTATTACGCAAATGTTCTTTGATACGAAGGTTTTCGGATCGTTCGTCAAGGATTGCCGAAAGTGGGGAATCGATTGTCCTATCGTTCCCGGTCTCATGTGCATCAATGCGTACGCCGGGTTTGTCAAAATGACGAAATTCTGCAAGACACGTGTTCCAACCGAGCTGAGAGCCAAGATGGACAGTCTCAAGGACGACTCGGATGCCATCAAGGCCTTTGGTATCGAATTTGGAACCCAAATGTGCCAGGATTTGATCGAAATCGGAGTCGATGTCTTGCACTTCTATACTCTTAACTTGGAAAAGACTACGTATGGCATCCTTGATGGACTCGGGTACAATGTGACGGGATCTGCCGATGATAGCGACGAGAAAACCATGGTCGCTAAGGGCAGTGCGTGGGCTCGTGTCGGAGACAAGGTGAAGACGACCGAGGGCGTCGAGGGAACAGTCACGGCTATCGAAAGTGATGGTACCGCCACCATTGAGTTCGAAGGGGAATCTCCCACGGTAACTCTCAAGAAGGAAGACTACAGCAAAGTTTTCTAAATTCACTCATCGTTGGGCTTCGTAAACATACGTGTTAGAGTGGACTCGTAGTAACGACTTTTTTCGTTGGTTATGGAGACAAGTGCACCCTGTTCTACTAGAATTCTACACACTACAACAGTAATACGTAGTAAAATTTTTGTCATGCAAGATATCTTGAAAAATAATTTCCGTCACGTTGCGCTTTCGTTTCTGGGTAGAAATCTTTTGTCTCTTTCTCCCCCTCTGTTACTATGTATATATTTTGCGAGCCAATGCATGGCGTTCACCAGAACATTTTGCCTCAAATTCCGATCTCACCGCAATTAAGGTTACCGCTTTTTCCCACTTCGAGCGCCCGCCCCTTTCTTGGGTGGGCCCTTTCCCTTGCGTCGCCGCTGGGTTAGTTTCACGCGCCTGTATTCCTCTTGTTCGGTTTCCCATCCGTCATGAACCTATCATTTACACCGGCACGTCCATTCGTTTCAATATCAATAGTTTTTTTTTTAAAAAATGAATTCCAAGGAAAAGTACTTCGTGAGGCAAATGGTGGGGAGGTATGATCTAGCGTCGATGGTGCAAGCTTGAAAAAACTTGTGGAATGCAACCAAAATCCAATATCGCTTCCTTTCATGTCATGTAACATGAAGCCAGCTTCACAAAATTGCAGGACTCACTTTTCTTGCGTGGTGGTTGATGGAAGTCGGGTAGTATTTCTCGAGATAGGGCCCCGTAAATGTTTTCTTCGCGGTCTTGTTCCCGGCAGCAGCTCCCTCGAGAATGGGGACGTGACCAAATATTTGCTGCCTTGCGTGTTCGGCCCCACGCCTTAGGACGGCCGAATTTTGGGCCAGTAACCGCCGCACTGATCCACCCGACGCCGTCATGTTAAGTGTATCGAAGTGCAGTGTGTGTTGGTGATTCTGAAAGCCGTGTGGTTTGTGCTCCGACACGGAAAGATAGTGATCTGATGGAACGACGAAGTGTTTTTGATCGTTGTTACTACTAGTGTGACGGGTTATGAAGTCTGTACGTATCATATGTACAGCTAGTACCGTTACTCGTCGTACTATGTTGTATTGAACATTGTACAACTACTAAAACTAACGGTAGCGGTAGTACGAGAACTAGTTACGTATTCTACTAGTACAGCTACTATTATTTTGTCGAGGGGCGATGCCGCCATCCATAGCCAACATCACGGTACTACGAGGAACGAAACCTAATGAGGTGAGACAGGTCCGGAGTCGGTACAAAATGTACGTGACTCTACGGAGAGAACAATACACCTCATTAGGGTTCCCGACTTGAACCTGTCTCACTTTAAAAAAAAACATAAAGTATTTTGATATCGAAATATTTATTAGTACTAATTTGTATGTAGGATGCTACGATACTGATATGGAAAACTCGAATTAAAAAAACACTTGTTGGTCGATTGATCTGAGACTTCCGGATCCCCTTCTTCTTATTACAGTGAAGTTATTCCAGTATATGTGTGGAGGGGAACAAGTGTCCCCAATCAGTGTGTCTGGAGGGTGAGACAACCCCCCTTGTGCTGTTTTTTTACTAGTTAAAACTGCGCGTTTTTTTGGTGATTATAACCTGTCTCATATTCGATCCACACATTAGGTTTCGTTCCTCGTACTTGGTGAAGTACTTCTATGAAGAAATTACTGTACCGTACAGCACATACCCTACTGTAGGTACAATATTCATACCAGGACGTTAGGTATTCGATGATTTTACCGCGCAAGTCAGCTACTAGCCCCACCATGGTACTAGGAATAAAACAACATATGAAATTACGTTAATTGAGGCATTGGGAACTTTCATAACATTCTGAATGTTAGCACCGTTGGCTATGCTCTACCTGACGTTGCTTTAACTTTTGCCTGGTCCTATCTTAGAACTGAAGGAAGTGAAGGTTGGAACCCTAATGACAAGCCATTTTCTGTCTTCAATTACAGAACAAGCAACCTCCCAATACATTCAGACGTACATAAAGGAATCAAGCTGGCCTACGATTAGGAAGGTATGTCAGTGCCCTCCTCTCGCTCCTAACTCCCTCCAACAGAGCATTGCAACACTTGCTATTGATCTACAGAACTGCAGAATCAAACACATTGGCCAATGCAAAGAAGTCCCAGAAAAGCTTGTTGCAGCAATCGCAAAGAGGAGGGAGGAGGAAGAACCCAGCACCAAAGAGGAGGAAGAACAACAACAAGAGGAATCAAACAAGGAAGAAGAGGAGGAAGACACTACTGCTATCATGCTGCACAAGAACACCAAAGCCATCAATAACAATGATGATGATCTTTTGGTTCTTGTTGTAAGATCCCTCCACATTTTCAAGGAACTTGTTCAGTGGGTTAGTGGGTCCCTAGTATCCTGTCCAATCTTTTCTCCTGCTGGTAGATGGGAAACATTTAACATCCCTCTACTTGGTGAGGATGCTGCTCATCCACACTAGTGCACAGGAGACTTCTGGCACTCCTGGGTCAATAAGAGGACTTTTTGAGTGGCTTTCAAGTGGCCTAGTAGTAGCTTCATGCAGAGATGTATGCAGACTGATTTGGACATGACAAGAACAACAAAAGAGGGAAGGACATTCCAAACCTTTCCAGCAGGACATGCTTTGTATACAAGTATGGGCACACAAAAAAGAAACCCAGAACTAACAAGGATACTTTGCCTTCCCCTTTGTCTCTCCTCCTGGCCTTGCCACCACCACTGCCACCTTCTCCTCCTCCAAAGAATGATGACAAGGATGCAAGGATGAAGAGGTTGAGGGAAGCAGACTGATCCTCTTGACAACTACTGCTGAAGAAATGCAGAAGGTCCCTTGCAGCCTGGATGGAAGATGAAGAGAGCTTTCATTCATTTGACTCATCCATTGCTTCCTCTGGAAGAGACCCAATCAGGTCCTTCCACAATTGCCAAACCATATCTAGATGATGTTGAGAAGTTTCTGGTGAAAGAGGTCTCTCCTGGTCCTATTAGAACAACCACACAACAAGATAAAGAGCAGCAATGCTTATAATGGAGAGGATCATGGAAATAGTAAAGCACCAACGCTTATTATAAATAAAGCAAAAATAATAACAAAATTAATTGCCAATTTTTGGTACCTCCAGAGCAGTATCCACCACATGCATAATGGAAATATACCACTTGATAGTGTTAATACTAGAAATATCTAAAATAGTACTATTCCCTTGCTATGGGCAACAAAGGCTCTGTTGATGACTCTAGATAGCTAGTCTTCAAAAAACTGGAGAGGAACTGGATTTGCGGTACATGTTTTACAGATATTTGCTTTAGAAATCCTCTAAACACCTTGCATTTTTGCCCAAAATTGATCTGCTGCTGCTGCTGCTGCTGCTGCTAGTAGTAGTAGTAGTAGTAGTAGTAGTAGTAGTAGTAGTAGTAGTAGTAGTAGTAGTAGTAGTAGTAGTAGTAGTAGTAGTAGTAGTAGTAGTA